CTGAATTCCTCGTAATTTGGAAAAGACTCAAGTTCCTCTAGAATGGCCGAACACTAAGATGCAAGTTTTATAGCGCCACTTAGAATGCATTTCTATAGAGCTAAAAGTACTTTATGAATAGCTACAAAAGTGTTTTCAATTGAAAGTATTTGAGGAAACAGTCGTTGGGTGGCCCTGTCTCGTTGCCTTCTCCGCTTAGCATTACACGATATATTTTATATTTAGTATGAGCAAACTATAAATCATTAGCTTCGCTTTTAGCCCTCCTGACTAAATTTATGTAAGCGCTGTTTAGAATGCATTTTTCGGTCAAAAGTACTCTGGACAGCCGTAAATGTGTTTTCAATGCATTTAGGGGGAAATCATCGTTGGGTGCCCCTGAGTTTTGAGAATAATAATAATAATAATAATAATAATAATAATAATAATAATAATAATAATAATAATAATAATAATAATAATAATAAAAGATATCGCGCCCATAAATTTTACTTTACGATATCTTCAGATTTTGCCTTTTTCCTGGGCAGAAAATTCTCGTCCTCCTTCACCAGTTTGGACAACATATCATGGAGTAAGACGTTGTTAATCTAAGCAAATAAGTCTGGTAGAGTCAAGAACCTATGCAAGCGGCTGGACGAACAATGTGACAGCATCTGAGACAGCGAACGTTAGAAGAATTCGAACTTGAAAACCAGGGCTGCCCTGTTGAAAACTTACGGACGGTCCCGCGATCGCCTTTTGTTTTCTGGTCAAAACTAACGCAGCGGACCCTCGCTCAGTGTTGATTGACCTAGAACAATTGTACCATCCCTCCCATTGCAAGTGTTGCATTTTCGCGCGAACGCAGTCGCTAAGCTTGAATATTCACGTCGCGTATTATACCTGGTCGTTTGCGGTCATATCGAAGCGTAAAGGTCAACAGTGGTTGTTGATGAGCGAGCAATTATTGTGCAGTTGCGATGGGTTTTGTGGAGCAAGCGAGCCAGAGGCAGGAGCACACGTTACCTGCAGATTAGCCGATGGTTATTTGCAGCGGATTCGTCGATTATTCTCGAATTTATAGCGCTTCGTGTGAAGGCGCGTGGAGATGTTCTGTTTGTTTTGTAGCCAGCCTTTAATTCTTCTATAGTGGATAGTACCTACAATTGCAAAACTCAACAAAATGCCACTTAAACCGGCCAGGAAAGACAAGGATACGTTCAGTTAAAGGTATCTTAGCTTTATTTTGTTATATTTTAATTTTTGGACTATTTTAGTTCATTGGAGTTTCTACGACTCATCGCATTAATTTGTCCATGTATTCATTCAGTGACACATACTACGCCTGGGCCGCCTGTGGACAGAGCAACTTATGTCGTAGAGACAATTATTTACTGTTCTTCCCCTCCCTTATTTTTGGCTCCCACATTTTGGGCACCACTTGACCAGCCGCAACCGGGGTTTTTCTCGAAGCAAGAGAGAGAACCCTGAGAACGAGGTTGCCTTCTTTGGTTCAGTGACGTCAGCGATAACTTTAGTAGCTTTTCTGAAAAACCTTAAATAAGAACGGCCGAGACCAGGCTTTATGAGCCTGCGAGACTGAGCACCCCCCTACAAACCCTTGTTTTCACAAAACCGCTGGTCAGCCAAACCTGGTTTAGGTCGTTGTTATCTAAGACCTTCCAGCTTTTCTTCGCCGATCTTGCTTTGAGTAGAGTCCAGTTTCATCAAGGGGGACGCCTTGTGTGGGCTACGTGCATGACAAGCCAACTTAAATCTAGCGTAACCCAATTCTTTATTTTTGTCTGAGAGTTAATTTATTTTGCGGTGATTCTTTTGTTAACGTTTTCCTTGAAGCTACAACATGCACTGTACTCATGATAAGGATAAATTATCCCTTTTCCTCTTCCCAAAGAAAGAATATGTTCTGATTAAACTCCTAGATTCATTAACAGTCGGAGTAACTTTTTTTCCGACTGTGATAATCACAAGGCTGCATCATACGATGTTACACTCCATGAACAAAACATGTCGTCCTAGTATGGACCCTACGTACTTGTGACGTACTTGTGATACGCACGCTCTGACCCCCCTGATCCCGTCTGACCCACCCCACACAAGAGTTATATTAAACCACATTTTATTTACACTACAGAAATCATGCGAAACCCGTGTTCTTCGCCCTCAAATAGCATTTGTTTCACTTTAGTGTCCAATTTTTGTCATATTCAGTTGAATTGAACTCAAAATGGCGGAAAGTGAGACTCAACGCATTGAGCTGATTAGTGAAAGTGAGACTCAACGCATTGAGCTGATTAGTGGAATCGACGATATAAGGACGATGAATCAAGTAATGGAGGCGCTTGGCATTCCTTCGAAAGGGTGTCAAACGCTGCAAGATATGAAAGATCGAGTAATAACTACAACAAATCAGTCTTCAAAATCAATCACTTGGAGTGCAGGACAGGTAAAAATGATTGCTATTAAGAGGAGAGATATGCAGATTATGCTATTCTTTATTAGCGCGTTATTAATCGCATTACTAAGTAACAGGCTTCTTGTATAAGATGTTATTTCTGAGACAGGGCATTGTGCAAGAAGCTTGTGTGAAAACTTTAGATAAGAGTCCTTTGAACGTAATTAAACTGCGAAATTTCAGATTTGTATGTTTGAGGACAGCTATAGACAGCTATTTGCATTAATTCAGCTGTTTCTTATGAAACTGGCTTTCTGTCGTTTCTACAAACATCTGATTGACGAAGAACTAGGCAAGAGTGGCGGAAAAGTCATAATAGGGGTAATTATCAGTAAAACGCCGCGAAGAAGAACCTAGAGTTTTTGAAGTTTGGCAAAATAGATTCTTATAGTTTGGAGTACTTATTGGAAGTTTAGGCTAAATAGGTTCTTAATTAGGTTCTTAATTTTTATGAAGAAGGATACTGTTGTTGCGATTACAAGAAATTGCTATGAATGGTATTTGTCATATCCCATGAATCCTTATGCGCTTCGTACATGCGCAGTAGATTCTTCTTGCCATGTGCTTACAGACTTGAAGTAAAATATTGTGGAGTTCTCAGCGTTCGTTATACAATTTCCTGCTATATTACAAACTACAAATTCCTAGTACATTACAGTATTTGTCCTTCATAATAGGCATTTTTTACCAAAAATCTAACAAAACTAGGTTAACAGCTAGAAGATATGCAGTTTTCAACAATGGTTGTTTACATTATACATTTCTTATGTAATGTAATATTATAATAAATTTGCCATATAAAAGCCAGACTTTTGGTCAAAATAATGTTTATGAAAATGTAGTGTAACCCCACATAAAAGAACCTGTTGATTTTTCTTGGCTAAACTGGTTCTTATATTTTGGAGTATTAAAATGACAAATTTCTGCCAGCAGGTTCTTAAATCCCAGGTTCTCCTTTGCGTCGTTTTACTGTATGTATTGCGTTGTAGATTCAAATCTGGTTTAAAATCTACATTAAAATGTAGATTTTCCTTTCTATCAAATGTCAGACGAATGGCACATCTTTTGTTCCTGTCGCATTTCTTATAGCATTTGTATTAGGGTTAGTACCTTACTGGACAGGATACTCACATCTAACAAATCAAACCCCATTTTTCATGAACAGTGAGCGATCGTCTAAGTTTTCGTAGAGTTATCTGACAGTAATTGAAGCAGTTGTTTATCGATGTCTGGAGGGAAGCCGGCATACCATCAGGGAGCTTGTCCGTGTCGTAACAGATGCACTGCAGCAATAACGCATTGCTCGGCACTAAGTACTATATTTCCTGGGACGGGAATAAAAATTGAAGATAGGTTATCAATTAGGTCCAAAGTTCTACCATGGTGTAACAGATCAGTGTCATTCTGAGATATACTGTATCACATCAGCAAGTGCAAATAGCAGCAGGGGCGTAGTTAGGAATTTTCCAGAGGAACACACGGTTTTCCAAATCCACCCTAACCTATCTGCCTCCCAAGCCACATTAACCGTTTACTTAAAGAATGAATCAGTTCATGGTGAAGAGTTTTAAGTTTGATATGTTAATGGTCCTTATATTTGTAAAATTTTAAGGTGTAAGTTTTGAGTATCTTTGTCATTCATGAGGTAGGCGCCCGGGGGTAGGCGTTGCAATCAGCATTTTGCAAATGCTGACAATTCCTTGAAAATTCCTTCAAACGAAGGGTGATTTTTGAGTGAAACCGTCGTCCTGTTATTGTGAGCGTGGAAGTGAAATTAAAACGGTCTGCTTTCACAGATCGACTTCACTGCTAGTGGGCAGTTAGTATAAAATGAATTTGCGCTCTCTGAATTTGTCGTGAGCGAGCTCCAGTCATGTGAAAAATTAAGCAAGTAATAACGCGCGGTACAAGTTTCAAAAGAGAGAAAAAAATCATCTGGTGTGGGATTCAGGTCAATGTAAAAGTTGGAATTCGGAAATTTCATCTCACAATCGTGCAGGTACAATAAAGAAACGTACCATGAAAAAGACAGGAGCACCCCACGTCAATTTTGGGAAAATATCTGTCCGAAGACGATTTGAGATCTAGAGAGATTTTCGGAACACTTTTTGTAAAATTTCTTGCTTGCCTGCCTCTCCTAGGATTTTCGAACATCTAAAAAAATGGTATAATTGCCTATACTTAACGGATCTGTACCCTAAAAAGGTCACCTGGAATTTTCGGGAGCCCTTCTTCTGCCTGAAATTTTCTAAAAGGTCACTTTGATCCCCATAATTTTCGGATCACTAGCCCTTCAGCTAGGAAATCGATCCGAACAGATGAATTAGGGGATAAAAATATGCCTATATCTACAGTTTAAATACTAAAATACGTTTAACAATGCTATGTTTTAAGTGGTTTTGAACTATATTCTCGTTGGAGGCCCCTCCGGTTATCCGGAATTTTAAATCAGGAGCAGCGTTGGTGAACAGTAAATGCTGATGGGTCAATTTTTCATTTGCAGTTCAGTTCTTAACAGACTTGACTTGTCTTCTTTCCTCAGGCCTTTTCCGTTTTGTTAGATGCAGAAGATGACGATGTAAGAAAAAGAGCTGGGTTACTGAGCCTTTACACTGAAGCTGAGGAATTGCTAAATAAACTGGACCCCCAAATTGTTGCCCCGCTACAACAGAGTGTTCCTGATTTTGCGCAGAAGCTGAAAAACCACAAGCTGCAACTAACACAGAAGGAGTACTTTGTGCTTGTAGCAGGTAAATCAAAGTACACTTATAAAATTAAAGAACATTATTATTCTTTCAAAACATATCGCCTTTTCTGATTGGCTTAAATCCCCAACCAATTCTTTATGACCGTCAATGTGGACACAAAAATTGATTTTGACTAGTAGATCGTGCATTCGGATGCGTACTTGAAACCGCAGAGAATACACCCGGAGCAGTCAATCGATAAAAATCGGTATCGATTTATCAACAACAATAAAAATCGGCAAATCTGATTTGAGTGATATCTATTGTATCGATCAATGGGTAGAAATCGATGACACACTCGCTTCGTTCATCGATTTGTCTTGATTTTTACCGATTTCATCCATTTATATCGGAAGATACATCTGTTCATCTGTTTATCAAAAAATGAAAACTGAACTCATGCAAACAGTAAACTTATTGACAATTGAGTTGCAATTGAGAGTCGAAGGATCAAACTTTTATCACTCTCTAAAGAAATCTTTAAAGCAATCTTATCTTTTCTCTAAAATCTTCTGATGGCTGATATTGGCCAGGTTTGTAGGGGCCTATCTGCCACACTGCACACTTTCAAAATAACGTCGGTGTACCTCCGGGTGTAGTTACATAAAAATCGAAATCGATAAAAATCGTCAGCAAGTGATTTTTATCGATTGGTAACAGAAAATAGTGAAAATCTATCGAGGAAAATCTTTTAGCCTGAAACTCAGACATCCCTTCGACTCGAGGGAATGTCTGAAATTCAGGCTTAGGTTGTATTTCCCGCGATACAGTAAAAACCCGCATACAAGAACATGTGGAAAACAGGCTGAAATTTGGAAAAAAAGGAGCATATATATAAGAACACATTCAGCCTGAAAATTGAAAATTGTTCTTATATATAAAAACTCTTCCCTTTTCAGTTTAATAGAACACTGTCTGTAGCTTTACTGTAGTATTGCACTAAGATCTCTGTATAAATGCTAGTAATTTCACTTGCTGTGTATAGCAAATGTACAACAAGTTACATTTTTTTAGAAGTAAAAAATTAAGAACACTTAAGAACACTTTCAGGCTGATTTCACCTAAAATACCCGATATATAAGAACCCAATCAGCCTGAACCCCGAAAATGGGTGTTCTTGTATGCGGGTTTTTACTGTACTTGCCTGCGAGAACTGAATGTACGTAGACCGCAACCTCGTTCCAGGGTTCTCTCTCCTACTCGTCCTACCCTGTCTCTTTCCGTAGGGAAGGGTAGGAGATCACCATGCTGGGACCGAGTTTTAGAGAGAAACTTGTGCGTAGTTTCCACAATTCTCATTTTCATGTTTGCTGATAAGATGTTACTCGTAGAGGTGATTTCTAGGCGGTACCTATGTAACTCGTGCCAAACTGAACAACAATGGCGGACTTCCGTTATATCACTACAATCATGGAAAATCGATAATATCGATTTGACACAGCAATTTAGTTTATCAATTTTCACCGATTTCCTTTATCAATCGATAAAAATCACTTGATTGCTACCGATTTTTATCGATCTCTCTTGATGTTTATCGATTGACTAATCCGGGAATACGACAACCTTTTTTTCTGGTACGGTCACGAAACCGCTGCAGTGAAAAACAGTTGTTGTTATAGATTTTTATCGATTTTTAATCAAAAAGTGAATCAGCAATTATAGATTGATCGATTGGTTTTCCGATATAGGTTTTTATCGATTGGAATGCACTCGTCAGGCTGATAAAGGTCTGTAGTGAAGGCCGACACTCCCTATACACTTATTTATGCGCTGGACGAGATAAGTTTATAAGCTCCTTTGACTCGCAGCAACTTTATTTCCATAACATTCCACAACCAGAGGGTAATTTTGAACATTTCGACAAGGTTGCAGGGCTTGCAGTTTGTTTAAATATATATTTTTTGTTCTATCCTTTTGTTTACTTGTTCATCACCTTGCCGTAAGGATCAGTTTGCCGTTTCATATTTTTCTACAAGTTTAATTGTACTGATCCAGGTCTGAACTGGGAGATCCGGCACCACTCATAGGTTTGTTGCTGTGGACTTGCTGACATTTCATGTAAATATAAAGCCCTTGAAATACAACATTTTGCTGCGATTTAGTTTTAATCGTTTTATAGAATAAAACTTTTTGCTATGGTCCTGATATATAATACGTTTTTATGAACGATCGCACAAAAAAGTTAAAAAGAAGTGAAATTTTAAATTTTGCTAATAAACGGCCCGACCACACTCCAATTTTGACACAATATCCCCACCCCCTCCCCGCTCTTTTACTTGCGCCATTTTTCGCGCGCTCTTTGACTCTCGTTCCTTGTTCTTTGCTCCTAAACCGCACGGAAACGTTTGCTACGCAGGCTACCAGGATCCATTTCCGTCCTCCTTTGAGTGAGGACCCTAGTTCGATTATTGTTTCCTGGAGTCCTTCTAAGTGGCTTCAATCTCATCTTATGTATTGGTAACTTGCTATCTTCACAGGAGAGACAGGTTCTGGGAAAAGTAGCTTGATAAATCTTATTTTGGGAGAAGAGCTTCTTCCATATTCTGTTCTCAGTACAACGTCTACCATTTGCGAGCTAAGATTTGGGGAGGAACGTAAAATTGTTGCCCACTTTAAAGATAAGGATCCTGAAACAGGCCTGCCAACAAAAGTTGTCCCCTTAAGAGAGTGTCAAGGCAGAGAATCAACAGAACAAGGCTATCTTCAGCAGATTGCACCTTATGTTCATGTAAAGAGTGATCGCGGAAGAGGATCAATTTTCAAAAAGATTGAGCTCTTTTGGCCTCACAGTCTCTTGGAGGTAGGCTTGATAGACTTGATACAGTTTAAAGTTGTAGTTTGAGGTCAATTTTATGATATATCAACTCACCATCCGGGGTATGGCTATACAAAAGGTTATAGAAAGAATACTATCGAGTGTGATTAGTAATGGATATATAACTGTACTACTGCTTAAATTTATGTATTTTTTGGTTAGTATCGTGACTGTTACACAGCAATCAGCAAAAAGCATTATTGATATTATTTCCCCTGGCCAACGACTGTTTGTTCAGATAAGCATACAAACGTGTAATGAGGAAACGTTTTTTAAAGCTATTGAAAAGGACCAATGTAAATCAAAGCTAGCTTTTCATTTGTATTTCAGAAAGGAATTGTGATAGTTGACAGCCCTGGAGTTGGCGAGTCGGATATTATGGACGAGATAGTTACGCAGTATCTACCTCAGGCATTCGCTTTCCTCTATGTCATCAACAGTGCAAACGCTGGTGGAGTTCAGAGACACCGAGTAAGTATCGCAAAAACGATTTTTCGCCCATGGAAAGAAGTCATAAGTGTCAATTTAAGGAGCATATTGTTTTAGAGGTTACGAGAAAAGAAAACCTGCAACCTGTCATACCACAGAGAACAACGCTACCGAAATGTCAGTAAAATGGGCTAGGTGACATTTTTATTGTTGCAGCGAATTACTTGCATAGGGGCCCTTCGTGGCAGCCAAAAAGCCAATTAAATTTTAATCATTAGTTTATCATTTTGCCTGATTTCATATTGAATGTTTGCCTATTACTATGGTACCCTGTAAAGTTTGATTTAGTGCATGTACTATCAATTTTCCCTGACTTTAAATTTTCCCCTCGTATTCCACTGGTAAGTTGCATTTATATAGTTAAATTATCTTTCATCCTATGTAGACGACTTTGGTAGAATTCCCGCATAAATTCAATGATCATGCACAATATGTCTATTTCGTTACTCTTTCAGCTTGAAAGATTACTTGAGAAAGTCAGAAAAATCACTCTTGAAAGACAGGGAGCATTACCTACCAAATCTGCCTTGTTTGTGTGCAACAAGTGGGACCAAGTCCCGGAGAAGGAATGGAACGAGGTGAAGAATCACGTGATCATAAGATTGCAAAGATGTTGGCCTGGGGTTGATCCCGAGTCACAGATCATACATATGTCAACTACAAATGCCAGTCAAGCCCAAGACTATAAGATTGTTACCGAGGAATTTTCCACTTTGATGAACAGCTTAAGGCGCATGGTGTTAAAGAGTATTGGAGACATGTTGGAAATTCATTGGAAGTAAGCATCAAGCATCACGTACATGTTTTATAGCGGCGATTTTAACAGTCTTAGGGAAAAAACATCATATCCTGGGGAATAAACTCACTTCGTAAAATACAGACCAGTGCGTTGTTTAATTTTTGTGTTTTCCAAGGAGTTTTCAAACTGACTTCAACTCCAAGTATATCCCTACTAACTAAATGGGATTCATACCCGGGGAGACATTTGAGGGAAGCTTGGGTAGAGTTGTACCGCCGAGGCCTTCAAACCCTGACCCTGTTTATTAATCAAAAAATTTCTCATTTTGCTACCCTGTAAAGACAAGGGACCTTTTTTACTCCGACCTTGAAAACCATACCTTGTTCAGTGGCGCGTACTCGTTTAGGCCAAATAGGGCAGTGCCCCCTGGGACTCACGCAACCAGGGAATACACCCCTGAAAACGATTAGGTTAAAGATTATTCAGTTTAGTCTGTCACAGGTCGTCAGATGAAAATGTCAGTGTCTTGTTGTTCTTTTATCATTTCATAGTTGGTTGGATAACCTTCTCTCACGAACAATCTATCAGGCGAAAGCCTTCGTGATGAATGCCTATAGAGATCGCGACAAAGTAATCCTGAGAACAAAGGAGATTGCTCGCCGTATCAAGGAAATTGAAAAGGAACAAAGCAAAGTAATTGCAGACCTTAATGTCTACCGGAAGGAACGAGTGAATGGTGCTTTGAGGGAGCTATCCGAATATCTCTCGTCGGACGTTGTAAAGCCCACTTCACTTCATGGACAAAGGACGAAGTGCCAGCCCCAGAAAACTCCTGGGAGGTAACAGAAAACCAAATCGCAAAAGTTCTCTCCAGGCGGCTAGGTGATCTCATAGAGAAATGGGAAGAGGACAAGCAAGTGTTTGCAGGTGCTCGCGCGTCAATCGAGCAACACTTTCAGGAGCGTTACAATTTCATGGAAGGTAAGCTGAGGGATCTTCAGAACGCCATCACTGTTGACATAACAGATGTTTCAGGGGATCAGCTTCAGCTTTCTCAAGCAAATTTCTCCTTGGCTAAAAAAGTCGTCATTGGGGTCACAAGTCCAATCTGGGTTCCACTTCGTTTAGTTGCTTTGGGGATCGGCGTTCCTATTTATGGTATCGTGGCTATGAGAAGCAAGTTGGAGGATAGAAAGAAAATGAGGAATTACGAAGAGGACAAATGTGCCTTTATGAGAGAAGCGTCGGCAGTGTATCTTGAAAATGTGATAGACGATAAATGGCTAAGGCCTTTCGTGAAGGAACAAATGAAAGAAGCCAAAATCTACCTCAAGCAGATTGAAGCCCGTCTACCAGAATTGATTGAAGCAGACAAGATGCTATGCAAACAACTTTGTGACGAAACGCGTTCACAGAGAGAGATAACTGAACGTTACCGGCCCATAATGGATGAAGGTTCTCATCTCAGAGGACGCTTAGCAGAATTTGGGTTCAAAGAGGTTCGAGCCACTGATATCAGTGCTGATAATCTAGAATGGAAAGAGGATGTTCCTTCCCCAGTGGGATGCGGTGCATTAGGTGTTGTGTACCAGGCAAAGATGAAAAGAAATAAGGCCTACATCACCGTGGCTTTGAAGGTGTACCAAAGCGTGCTTGACGCTCAAAATGCAAGCCATTTTATGGCTGAAGTACAAATTTTAAGGTAAGAATATACTCACTAGCCTTTGACTCTGAAGATTATTCCCTCACAGGTTGCCGAAACGTCAGTCACTGTCAACAACAGTTCTATTCAGGACTACGCTCATCGGGACGATCATGAATTATTCCACCTACTTATAAAAAGATTCCTGTCTCAAACCTTTCACTGTTGTAGATATGAGTCATGCACATAAATTTTCCGTAGAACTGTCATCCAAAAGCTACTTCGTGTTCTTTTATGATATCATTGCTGATTGTTGATGTGAAACGTTTCAGAGGCTTTGCCCTCCAGAGACGAACAAAGCCACTTGGTTGTATAGCTCAGTTGCTTTTTTCTTAGGTAAATTAGGCCTGGGCCTAGATCTATTTTATATAAAAGTAAAGAGTGTGGCCTAAAACTTGATCCATTTTATATACCGTAAAATTCCGAAAATAAGCCCCTCCAAATATAAGCCCCTCAAAATCATACCGCAAAAAACCCTCCGTTAAGTCGCCCCTCCGAATATAAGCCCCCCGGGGGCTTGTACTTGGAATTTGCTCTCGAATACAAAGTAAAACAAAGCAAAAATGGTAAATTTCCTTCCCACTACAAGCTAGCCCAATCGATTTTGAAACGCAAATTTCCTTCCGTACATAAGCCTCTCCAAAAATAAGCCCCTCAAAAAGGGCCTTTGAAAAATATAAGCCCCGGGGCTTGTCTCCTTTAAATGCTGTTTTGGATCATATATTGTCACGTGAAGTGTGAAAGTTATTTGTTGCTCAAAAATCTTCCCAGCTAATCGGCAACAATTTTTATTATAGTCTGGTGGCTGCGTTTAGGTTTATGATATTGACGCTATTAGGTACATCATTTGTGCTTGGACATCTTGAGAAAATTTAGAATAAAAGTCCGGAAAAAGAATTCTTTGTCATTGGGGGACTGGGCACTAAAACAAAATGCCGTATTTTTTCAAAACCAATGACATATCTAACAAAGGCCAAGCACAGTTCGTTTCCTTTTACCATTTTAATGCACCTAATTGTAACAAACCTAAAGGGCTGAAAGCATAAACGGTTGCAGTTTTTACTTTTGAACTGTTTGTCCGTACCAAGTCACGTGAACTTATTTGCATAGGAGATCAAGGGATGGCGCAGTGGTGAGAGCGCTCGCCTCCCACCAATGTGGCCCGGGTTCAAATCCCGGCGTTGACGCCGTATGTGGGTTGAGTTTGTTGTTTATTCTCTCCTTTGCTACGAGAGGTTTTTCTCCGGGTACTCCGGTTTTCCCCTCTCCCCAAAAGCCAACATTTCCAAATTCCAATTTGATCAGGAATCAGGGAGACGAAGAACCACTTTGTGGATGTGCTACCTCCAAATCATTATTTATTGTTATTTATTTATACATATCTTCCACATCAATATAACCAGATTTGTGACCTTATTAGTCTGCCAAAGTTTTAGGTTGCTATGAACAAACTTTAAGAAGTCAGACCACTCCCATACTTTTTCGTGCAATGACTTGGAATGAAGAACCTCGTTCCCAGGTTCTCACTCCTACCCGAGAGAACCCTGGGA